GACTCACATTTGTCTTATTACTAGACAAATGCAAGCATATTTCAGGTGACGGCTTTGTCCGTTTAAGCCTGTGTTTTTATCCCCTGTGACTTTTCACATTTTATTTTATGCATTGTTGAGCATATACCCAGAAGAACAAACAATGAGACAAACATTCCCTCATGTTCAGTCCAGTGACTTGGAAGACATTCTTCAAGTTCTGCAACCTTCTCATTCTCCTCCTCTGTTATCCCTCCCCCACAAATATAAACTCACTGCCCCCTAAGTTTCCTACCTTTTGAGTTGCTGTTGTCCATCTAATCTCATATTGATCGTTCTTAAAGGAGCACAGTGCTCAAGGCAGACACTGTTTACTAGTTAACCTAAACTATTGATTGATTTACAGAAGACTTCTGGGGATTAAAAAACAAAAACCTTCTTATTATGAATTGGGTGAAGGTTTACAGAGCAGATCATCAGTTTTACAGTCAGCCATCCATACACATTTTATTTCATCTCATTGACTACAAGTACCCCACTTCCTCTGTGTGTTTCCTGTTTCCATTCCTCCTTGTTTTCCGGTCCTCTGAAGTTTATCTTTGGGGAAATGCTGCCCTTTTTTATTTATCTATCACATGGTGGATGATTCTAAGGTATGCACACCTTTCTAGTGTTACTGTTCCCCTTAGAGACCTGCCTATGGTTTGGCTGAAATTTGAGCTGCAGGAGTGAGTTCACTTCCAGTCCTGAAGGCTGACTAAAAGCCATAGTCTCTAAGGTTCCACCAGTCTCTATCTGACCAGTAAACCTGGTCTCTTTGATGATTTTGAGTTTTGTTCCACATTTTTCCCCACTCTGTCCAGGACCTTCTAATGTGATCCCTTTTAGAGCAGTCAGTAATGGTAGCCAGGCACCATCTAGTTCTTCTGGTCTCAGAGTCATGGAGGGTGATGATCACATGGTTCATTAGCCCACTGGACTGACTATTTCCATATATCTTTGATTTTCTTCACTCTTCCTATGGATAGGGAGAGACCAATAGCTGCACCTTAGATGACTGCTCACTAGCTTTTAAGATCCCACATGCTACTCACCAAAGTCGGATGTAGAACATGGTCTTTGTGGATGATGCCAGTTGATCTTGGTGTTCTTCTGGAGGGTAGTTTTGGTTTAAAGTTTAAAGATGATCTCAGGGAAATAGTTTTGGCGGCTCACCAGCCTCAATTATTCCAGGAAGTCTGGAATTTATGAGAATGTGAATTTCTGTTCTGCATTTCCCCATTTTTGATCAGGATTCATCTATAGAATCTTTGATCAAAATGGTGATTGGTTGGAAATTATGTTTTTCTCTTTCCTTTCCTTCCCAGTGTAAATTGTTAAAGTACAGTTTTCAGAAAAGGAAAATCATGACTTTCATGCAAATATAAAATGCACATATATCCAATATTGTATTCAATGGATTAAATAAGGAGAGACTCAGTAAGGTGTTGGCACTGGCTTACAGAGCACTTGAGGCTCTGACATCTATAGGCAGAGTGATAAAATAATGTTAGGATGTGATGACAAAGTTAAAGGCACAATTAGTTAAGCTGCTAATGGATAAGAAACCATAACCTTTGGAGTTACCGTTTCCTACTGAAATTATTTGCATCTTTACTGGATAAAAACCTACAAATTGGCATGAAACTTCTTTAAGTCCTGATCTCTAGTCAGCCATCAGTGTAAGATTCTAAGACCCTCTGAATGCCTCATCCCTGCTACAATCTCTGAGCTGACCACATTCATGTGAAACGGATTCTCAACACAGTCAAGGGACAATCATTCAGATTCAGACTTGTCAGGCCTGGAGGGTCATCCTCTGGACAAACTGATAGTTATTCTTAATAAAGACTACTAAGAGAGTAGGCAGAGGAACAAAGAAATCTTTCATGATCACCTAACCCTACTCCAGAAATAGGAGGTCTTACCTTGGTGTTAAGGAGCTCTGGTAGCATAGTGGTTATGAATTGTGCTGCTAACCTCAAGATCAGCAGTTCAAAACTACCAGCTGTTCCACTGGAGAAAGATGAGGCTTTCTGCTCCCGTAAAGATTTACAGCCTTGGAAACCCTGTACAGGGTCACTATGAGTTGGAACGAACTCCATGTCATACCACCACCTCACCACCACCACCACCTTGGTGTTGGAGTCCCCAGGTTAATGGACTCAACTGCTAACTGAAAGGTCAGAGGTTCAATTCCACTTAGAGGCACCTGAAGAAAGGCTTGGCAATCTATTTCTAAAATATTAACTACTGATAAAACCCTATAGAGCAGAGTTCTACTCTAACACACAGGAGGTCATGATGAGTTGGAATCAACTCACTTGAAACTGGTTTACTTTGGTGCCATCTGCCTTTTTTACCTCCCAAAGGATTGGAGGAAGACTCATTAATAACCTGCAAGATGCAGCTGTCACAACTTTGCTTTCTGAATGTGAACATGACTTAAAATACTTACTGGTGAAGAACAAAGACCACAACCTACAGTATGGGCTGCAAGTCAATGTAAAGAAAACAAAAATCCTCACAACTGGACCTATAAATAATATCATGATAAATGGAGAAAAGATTGAGTTGTCAAGGACTTCAGTTTACTTGGATCCACAATCAACACTCATGAAAACATCAGTCAAGAAATCAGACATATTACATTAAGCAAATCTGCTGCCCAAGTGTTAAAGAGCAAAGATGTCAATTTGAGGATTAAGATGCGCCTAACCCAAACCATGGTATTTTCAATAACCTCATTGGCATGTGAACGTTGGAAAACCATAGAAGAATTGATGCATTTGAATATAGTATTGAGGAAGATATTATGGACTGCCAGAAGAACAAACAAAGCTGTACTAGAAAGTACAGTCAGAATGTTCCATGGAAGCCAGGATGGCGAGACTTCATCTCTTGTACTTTGGACATGTTTTTAGGTGGGACCAGTCCCTGGAGCCAGATGTGATGCTTGGTAAAGAGTAGGGTCAGTGAAAAAGAGGAAGACCCCCAGCGAGATGGGTTGTTGACACAATGGCACAGCAGCATTGGGCTCAAACGATAGCTCAGGCTTGGGTAATGTTTCATTCTCTTGTGCATTGGGTTGCTGTGAGTCAGAAGCAACTTGAAGGCACCTAACAACAACAAAGACTTGAAAATACAGGCATTGTGTCATCCACCTTTAGGAGTCCTGGTGTGGCACTGTGGGATAATGCACTGGACCACAGGGTCGGTTTGAACGGCAACATCGATGGTTCAAATTCACAAGCCACTCCTCTGAAACCCTATGCAGGGTCGCTATGAGTCGGATCTGACTCAACGGCCCTTAACAGCAATAACATTATCCACCTTTATACCGATCCTCTATTCATCTACTAACCCAACCAGTACTGAAGACACCCCTATGGCGTGCTGGGCCCTGGGGATGCAGCTGAGAAGAGGAAAGGAGTGGGCCCTGCTCGCTGGAGGTTATATTCTCATAGGGGACACAAGCACTGAGCAGATGATTGTCACTTAACGCAACAAGACCCATGTGCTAAGTACTGAAATGAAAAGGAGTTGAACAAAAAACCAGGGGAACTAGTTGAACCTGGGGGTGGGTGTCTAAGGAAGTGACTTGAAGATGAGTCTGGGAAGATGAGTAGGATTTCACTGGGTGAAAGGTCGCTTGGATTAGAACAGCGTGTAGGGAGGACTTGGGTCCCAGAAGCACAGTGCTTACTCCCAGAGGCTGCTGAGGAAGTGATTCCCATGAGACCCGAAGTGTGGGTGGGAGCCCAATCAGAAGTGACCTTGAAGGTTTGGCCAGGGCTCGGACTCCATCTAAAGTACTGGGGAGCCGTTGGGAAATAAGACTTCCCAGAGAGTGAGGTATTTCAGCTGAGGCTGAATCAATAAATAAAGTGCCGTTGTTGTTTCAACGGCACTTAACAACAAAAATAACCCTGCTATATGGAGTCCCGGTGTAATGCTGTAGGTTAATGCGCTGGACTGCAAAGTCAATTTGAACTGTAAGGTCGGCGGTTCAAGCTCACCAGCTGCTCCTTGGAAACCCTATACAGGGTTGCTATGGGTCAGAACCAACTCGACAGCACTTAACAACAATAACAACACCCCCTGCTATATGGGGTTGCTATGAGTTGGAACCGACTTAATGGCCTTGGGTAGTGTTGGTGTGAGTGGTATGAATGGATAATACGCTTAGCTGCTAACCGAAAAGTTGAAAGTTTGAGACCACCCAGAGGCACGTCAGAAGAAAGGTCTGGTGATCTACTTCTGAAAAATCAGCCACTGGAAATGCTACGGATCCCCAAGACTATGGCCCTTAGTCACCCTTGAAGCCTAGCATGAAGCTTACTTCCACAGATCTATTTTCAGCTAGATGGTAGACAGACCTCTAGGACGAACAATCCCACCAGGAAGGTATTCACTTGTAGAGCAGTCGTCCATATGAAATCAGAAGGGAGAGAGTGCTGAAGGCAGAGAGGGATGGGAAAGGGCGACCAATGAAAATAGGAAACCTAGGAAGTGGGCAGGTTCATATTACACTGTGAGGATTGTCGTCAATATCATGAAAGAAAATGGGTGTGAATTATTGAATGGAAAACCAATTTGCTCTGTTAACTTTCACTCAAATCACAATAAAAAGTTAAAACAAACAACTATGGAGCACAGCTCTTCTCTGACACTGAAACAAAACCAAACAAGACATCGCCATCCAGTTGGCTCAAATTCTCAGTGACCCTATCAGACACTGGCGAACTGCCTCATGGGGCTTCTGAGGCTGTAAGTCTTTACAGAAATGGACTGCTTCATCTTTCTCCCACAGAGCAGCTGATGAGTGTGAATCACTGACCTCTTGGTTAGTAGCCCCAATGCTTACCCTGATGGCACACCCAGGGCTTCATCCGGACAAACACAGGGTGGATCAAGACACGCCAGCTGGTTTGGATTGTTATCAAAGGTAATAAATAACAATAAACTGTCTTCTCCCCTCTCCCCAGGCACTCTTGGCCAAGGCTCTTTATGACAACCAGCCCGACTGCTTTGATGAACTGGCTTTCTGCAGGGGCGACATCTTGACCATTCTGGAGCAAAACGTGCCAGAAAGCAAAGGCTGGTGGAAATGTATGCTCCATGGCAGGCAAGGCCTGGCCCCCGCCAACCGCCTCCAAATGCTCACCAGGGCCCCTGCAGACAGACCTCGGCCCTCTCTCCCAGGAGGCCTGGAGGCAGCAGCGGCCAGCTCCGAGAAAGCATACCAGGTGCCATCCTTGCTCACCTCCTCACCCCCAGGCCCCATCTACGAGCATATGAGAAGCTGGGTGGAGGTGCCCCTGCCAGCCAATGACCAGGTCTACGAGCTCCCTGTCCTACCTGCCAATGCCAGAATTATCTGCGAACAAACTCCAAGCTCTCAGAAACAGGTAAGCATCTTTCCAGATGAAGTAGATGGGCCAGGGCCTATGGAAACACGTGGGGTTTAACTTTTACTAAACAGAAGTAGCTACTGCTGAAGCCACATATGCAGAGCAGGAAGTCAGACCTCATTGTGGGTTGGTGTGATTGTGTGTCTGACCAGTAGTCCTTGGTGTTCTGGGCTCTCCTGTGAACTTTCCAGACTCCAAGGCACCCCACACTTTTGGGGAACCTAAATGCTTGATGGGGTGTACAATACAGAGAGACACAGGGCAGATAGTGATAGGTGTTGTTGTTGGCTATCAGTTCAGACTCATCCATCCCTGCAGAACAGAACTGACTGTCCAGCAGCCAGTCTACAGTAGTACAATGGCAGGTCTTTTCTTCTGAGGAGCCATTGGGTGGGTTCAAACCAGTGACCTTGCAGTCAAGCGCTTCACCATCGCACTACAGTTAGTGATAAGTCAACTTGCTGTGAAATCAATTCCCACTCACAGTGAGCCTACAGGACAGAGTAGAACCACCCCAAAGGCTTTCTTCTTTTCTTCTTTTTATTAAAAAAGTTTTTATTGTGAATTGAGTGAAAGTTTATAGGGCAGATCATCAGTTTTACATTTAATAAATCATATACTGTTTCATTACAATGATTATAATCCCCGCCATGTACCATCAGTTAACAGTATTTCTCTCTATTCATTTTAGCTCTTTTTTTTTTTGTAAAACAAACGAAACACTCAGGCATATATAATAATTTATATCACCAAAGGGCACATTCTGCAAGTCGGCCTCCTGCCCGCCAGCTCTCAGTCCCTCTCTTTCCATGAATCCAGAGTCCTCAGCTGCTCCCTCTCTCCATCCATGTTCCCTCTCTGCCTCCATCTCTGATGTCGCTGCTTCTGCCGCAGAGGCTTTCCAAAGCTGAAGTCTTTATGGAAGGAGCCTGGTGACACAGGAGTTCAAGTGCTTGGCTGAACCCTAAGAGCAGCAGTTCAAAGCTGCCAGATGCTGCTCCATGTGAGAAAGATGTAACAGTCTTCTTGTGTCAATCTCCTAGGTCATAATCATCCTCAAGGAGCTCTAGTAGCTTAGTGGTTATGAGTCAGGCCGCTAACCTCCAGGTCAGAAGTTTGAAACTACCAGCAGTTCCATGGGAAAAAAAAATGAGGCTTTTTGCTCACTTTCTACAGCCTTGGAAACCCTATGGGTCGCTGAGTCGGAACGGACTCCATGACTCACCACCACCAATCATCCTCCATAGTTGGTCTGATGTGAGCAGCCAATCACTTCAAAGGGGTGTTTCCTTGGGGGCATGGCTTGCATCCAAGATATACGGACACTCTGACAAAGCTTCTTCTCTCTGGATCCTACATCCACTAGTTGGCCTCTCACCTCTGGTTCTGGGGCATGAGCCAGCAGTCTGACATCTGACCTGGTGATGTGGGTTCATCCACTCCTGCAACCACATGCATCAGTAGAGGCCTCCAGCTTGATGCCTGGCCCACACTTGTGAGGCCTGCCAGCCTCCTCAACTATTTGAGCCATTTCCTTGAAATAAGTCTTATATATGGAAGTGAATAAGGAAGACCATAGAAGAAATAATGCTTTTGAGTTATGGTGTTGGAGGAGACTATTGGAAGTGCCATGGGCTGCCAAAAGAACCAACAGATCTGTGTTGGAAGAAGGTCAGCCAGACTGCTCCTTGGAGGCCAGGATGGCCAAACTTTGTCTCTCATACTTCGGACATATTGTCAGAAGGGACCAGTCGCTGGAGAAGGATATCATGTTTGGTAAGGCAGAGGGTCAGAGAAAAAAAGGAAGACCCCCAGTGAGATGGATTGGCAAAGTGGCAGCATCAATGGACTCAAGTGTGGCAACAATAGTGAGGTTGGCCCAGGATTGGGCAGTGTTTCGTTCTGCTGTGCATAAGGTCACTATGAGTCGGTACCGACTTGATGGCACCTAACAACAACAGCAACGTATTTATAAAAGTTTACTTTTCTAGAGAACCCAGCCTAAGACATACAAGTAGATCAGATTTGTATCGGTATAAACAAGTTCATGTTCGTTATGACATTATTTGTTTTAGGAAAAAACTAAATGTGCAGTAATGGAGGGATTAATGATATAAATCATCCAAATTACTGTGCAGTTGTGGCGGCGGGGTAAGGGAAATGAGGCAGGTATATGAAGCATTTATAAGAGGAAGAAAGAGCCATTTAAGTTAAAACAGCTGACAGCAACCCTAGTTTCTGTGTGTGCTCAAACATAGTGAGATCCAGAACCCAGACCCCTTGCTAACAGCAGACTTCCACAAAAAGTACCATTGGTTAAGGAGAAAGTGAAAGGAGAATTAGGCAAGGACATTCATTATTTTCATTCCTGGGCCCCCATCACCCAGGGTTGTACCTGTCTTGGGATACTCAATAAACATCTGAGGAACCTATAATCACAGATTAGGAAATTTATCTGAACATTATGTTGAATATGTATTACATCTGGACTTTAAAAAAAATGTATCTGCTTAAAGAAAGAAAAAAAGCACTTCATAAATGCAGAATGAACACATTTTCTAAAGGAAAGGAATTCAAAGAAAGGAGAAAAATCCTGTCTTTTTTACCCCACAGCCCCAGCTTCATGAGGTGTTAAAAATGCAGATCTGATTTGCAGGATCTTTGACCACTGCTGGCATTTCCTGCCATCAGACACTTGGTTTTCTGCTGAAATGACACATTCCACCTGTCCCAGAGGAGTCCTGGTGTGGTGCTGTAGGATAAAGACTGGACCGCAAAGTCAGTTTGAACTGCAAGGTGGTGGTTCAAACCCACCAGCTGCTCCTCAGATACCCTATACAGGATCTCTATGAGTTGGAACTGACTCAATGGAACTTAACAACAACAGTGTGTATATATATATATATACATATATATATACATATATATATACATACATATATACACACACACATATGTATGTAATGTGCTGGACTGCAATGTCAATTTGAGCAGTAAGGTCAGTGGTTCAAACCCACCAGCCGTTCCTCAGAAACCCTATAAGGTGTCGCTATGAGTCTGAACCGATTTAACAGCACCTAACCACCTAACTACGCTGGTAGCGTAGTGGTTACGAATCGGGATGCGAAGCTTAAGGTCAGCTGTTCGAAACTACCAGCCGCTCCGTGGGAGAAAGATGAGGCTTTCTACTCCAGTAAAGATTTACACCCTCGGAAACCCTATACAGGGTCGCTATGGGTCGGAACCGACTCGACGGCACTTAACAACAACAACAACAACCACAACAACATAGGGCAGAGGTCCTGGAAAAATCTGTGCCCAGGGAAATCCCCTCCTCATGATGGAAGTGCTTTGGGGTCTCCCGATGGGTCTCCTCCACACCCACTCCTAAACTTTCCTTCAAACAGGAGGGTGTGAATTCCTTAAATGATTTTGGATACTTGAGATTTTCTAACTCCCTATGCTGCAAGGCACAGTTGGTACACAGAGCAGCTGCCCCAGTCAGACTCTGCCCTAGAACATACACAGGGGTCTGGGCCACTTCTCCAGGCATTCACGGGGTGGGCTTTCCTGGGACAACTGGCCCGGGTCTGAACCCGCACGTTCAGCTGCCGCCCAAGCCTTGGCTGTGTCTCCTCCAAGAACAACAAGTGACATTAATTGAAGTTTTCTGTGAATTTCTATTTCTCTTCCAAACCATTAAAAAAAGAGAGAAAAAATGATTCCCATTTCCATGTCTGCCTGAAGGGAACGCAGACAGTGTCTGCTGTTTACTGTGTGTCCCCAGCACCCAGCCCAGAGCCAGTCTCCTCTCAGTTGTAGTGAATGAAACAAGAGCCAGATGTTTCCTAACCCCAGGTGTGCAATGGGTTTCTCAACTGACCACAGCCAGCGCTAGAAAATTCACTCAGGAGAACAGAACGGCCGGGCATTCTCTGAGCTGTTCTCAACACGAAGTCAGGGTCTTCTGTGGCTCTGAGACCTGGGTCCTGGCTTGTGAACCACAGCTGCCAGGGCGGGAACTCAGAAACCAGGGACTCTGTTACTGACTCACTGAGTGTGGACACAATAAAACTCCTGGGGAACTTTGGGGCCCAACACTCCCACCCTAACTGCCCTCCGAGTCTGCCCCAGTGACACATTTGCTCCCTCCTTCGGACCACTGAGCAGCCAAGCACTGAACTACTGTGACTTCAGGACTCCTCCCTCTGGGTTAAAGGTGGACCTGATTTAAATGCAGAGGGAGCTGACACATGCCACCTTCCTCAAGGTCTCCTAAGGGAGAGTCTACATGGCCGAGAGTCCGATGCCTCAGTAGCTGCAAGAGTCCTCCAAAGGCCTCCAGGTTGAAAAACAACAAAAAAACTCTCCGTTTAACAAATGAGGAAATTAGTTCAACATGAGGTGAGAGGCCCATTCAAGGTCACCACGCAGGAGCTGAAACTCAAGCTTCCTTTTAGTGTCAGTGTAGATCCATCTCTGTCACCCCCAATGCCAACCACCTCACAAGGGACAGCCTTTGTGTCAAGTGTCTTGGCACGGCCCTGGTCTCCGCTTGGGGGCCTCTGATGGCTGAAATGTCTCCTTTTGACCACAAAGATCTTATTTACTGTGACGTAACAAGGAGCTCGCCATGTCCCTAGGACTCAGATGACCAAACAGACACAGCTAGCTCCCCAGAAACATCCCGCCCCCATTCTCCCAGGCACTGTCCTCCCAGCCTAACCACTGTGTTTTGCTTTGTATTCTAACTTCCTCCGTGTAATGTGATGGCCTGGCTTCCAGAAAGAACCAGCTCAAGAATTTATTTTATTTGGGTTTAAATGCGGAGAAGGGACTCTTTGTAACCAGTACTTGATAAACCAGTTCTTTCAGCCACTTGCTTTACCTTCCCTTTCCCTAAAGTCTTTTGAACCATGTTCCTGAAATTGGTTCCTTAATTGTTTGCCTTCTTCAACCTACTTTTCTCAGAAACACTGGACCTTTTTGCACTGGTTTTCTTCTGTCTGAATTTCCTTTATAGTGGTAACCCACACACTCAGGAAAGTCCCTCTGTTCTGAGGGTGGTGGTATAGCCATACATGACCCACAAAGTCAGCTTTAGATTTCTACCGGCCTGAGTTTGCAGGGACCAACAGGTGATGGAACAGTAGGTGAAAGGTCATGCAGTGGGAGAGAGTGCAGTGTGTTGGAATAAGCGGAGATGGTCAGTAGCCAAATGCCCAGCATTCATGGACCCTGGGGTTGGACAACGCATGTAAGTCAAGCTAAGGACCAAAACCAGTTGTCAAACTGAGTTCAAATCATGGCGACCCCATGTATGTCGGAGTAGGACTGTGCTCTGTAAAAACTGGCAACAAACATGGCGACCCCATGTATGTCGGGGTAGGACTGTGCTCTGTAAAAACTGGGAACTGACAACTGGCAACAAACATGGCAACGCCATGGATGTCGGAGTAGGACTGTGCTCTGTAAAGTGTTCAATAGATGGTTTTTTTGGGGGGAAGTACATCACCAGGTCTGTTTTCTGAGAGGCCTCTGGTTGAGCTTGAATTTCCAACCTTTCAGTTAGGAACTGGAGGAGTTAACCATTTACATTACCCAGGACCTCCAGCTGGTAAGGAGAGTTTAATAATAATAAAACACAAACTAGCAAAATGCAATAGGATCCATTGAAGAGTTTGTCTCAGACTGATCAGCCTAAGGCCACCAGGGTCAAAGGCCACCAGGGTCAAACATACAGTTACCAGGTCAGCTTCCTGGCCCCAATGCAGCGGGGACACTGAGAGGCAGAAAGTAAGCCGGTATCACAAACAAGGCAAGGAGAGTGTGATTGTTGGACGGGGAGTTTGAAGCCGTGTCTCCATTGGCTCAGAGCAAAGCAGGGCTGTGGATCATAAAGGTGGACATCAGGTCTGGACTGCAGAGTGGACGACAAAGTTAGGAGAGGTGAGGAGGGCTGTGTCCACACATCCCTCATCCGAAGGCCTGAGTTATCTCCTCCAGGCGGTCCTCCTGGTACCACTCCATCAGCGAAGTTTCTGAGAGGCTAGGGTTTTAGAGGAGGCATCCTGGTGGCACCGCTGTTAAGCGCTGGGCAGTTAGCTGCAAGATCTGCAGTTCAAACCCACCCGGAGACTCTATAGGAGAAAAGACCATGTGATCCGCTCCCGTAAAGACTACATACAGACAGCCAAGATAAAACCCTACAGAGCAGTTGGACTCTGTCCCGTGGGCTCGCTGTGAGTCGGAATCGACTCAGCGGCCCTCAACGGAGCTTTCTCTAACAGAGTTTCTCAGTGAATAAGAAAGATGCCATCACTCAGGACAAGGGTTGCTTGGACACTTTGCAGCCGTCTCAAGTCCTTGGGAGAAAGCTGTGTCCTCTCCATTCTGCAGCCAACTGCAACTGCCTGTTATTCCAGCCCCAGGAGTGGCTGGCGGATCTTAACAGTCTGCCATTCATTTCTGCTCCCTGTCACCAACCCAACATACAAACACTAGCACGTCCCATGTGCCGCCAAGGTGCCGGGGCCTGAGCTGGTCCTCGGGACACTGCCACTTGGACTGTCCTCCCCTCCCCTCCACGTACTAAAGTCCTAACCTTCCCCTAATCTAAGGAGCTCTGGTAGTGTAGTGGTTACGAGTCAGGCTGCTAACCTCAAGGTCAGCAGTTCGAAATTACCATCCGTTCCGCAGGGGAAAGATGAGGCTTTCTGCTCCCGTAAAGATTTCCAGCCTCAGAAACCCTACGCAGGGTCACTATGAGTTGGAACCAACTCCAGGGCACGCTACCACCCTATAAAGGAGTCCTGGTGTGACACTGCAGGATGACACAAGGTCAGTGGTTCAAACCCACCAACTAGGAAACCCTAGACAAGGTTGCTATGAGTCGGAAGCGACTCGACGGCACTTAACAATGACAAGCCCTATGAAGTGCCCATTTCAAGGCCTTTGCCGGCTCTGTGTTTTTAACACTCTCTTAGACCCTGCAAGATGGACTAGCAAAGTGGCAGCATCAATGGGCTCAAGCGTGGCAACCGTTGTGAAGTTGGCCCAGGATTGGGCAGTGTTACCTTCTGCTGTGCATAGGGTCGCTATGAGTCGGTGCCGACTCGATGGCACCTAACAACAACAGCAACGAGGCTATTTGGATTTCTGGTCACGTTCAGTCGGAGCAGTGCCTGGCACAGAGTCACATCAATGAGTCCTCAAGAGTGAGCTGGAGTCCTGGGCCCGTTACAGATGTGGACCCCATAGCTGGAATGAAGTTACATTTTCCAAAACCACAGCACGCGCCATTGCGGAAATCTGACAGTCAAGCCTGCCCTTTGCAGGACAAACCCAGAGGCCTCAGCAGGATCTGCAGTGGGGTGAAGGATCTCAGCAATGTCTGCAGCTGTCTCTGTGCAGGAGAATGTGCTGACACCGTGGCAGTGTGCCATGCTGACATCTCCCTCCCTTCTGTTCTGGTCTCTCCAAGGTCCTTCTCACACTTCCCAGGCTTACCAAGGCCTCGTCACCAGCTCTGTCCTCCCAGGTGTATGATGTACCTGCCCAGAGCAGGAGCCTACTGGCCGTCAAGGTGAGTCTCATTCGGGGACCGTGACCCCCATTCCTGACCCCCAGACACATGGTTGTACCTTTCTGCTCCCTGCTCCCTCCTGTAGATGGTCACTGAGGGTTAGCTGGTGGGAGCAGGAGCCGTGGAGGCGGGGCTGACTTAGTAATGTCCAAGATGCCGTGTAAAATGAAAACGTGGAGCCCCTTGCTCAAAAACTGGTGATGTAAGGGTTAAGCAAACTGAAAGATTGGTGGTTCGAAACCACTCAGTCACAGTGCAGGAGAAAGACCTGGTTTCTGCCCCCATGAAGACGGCAGCTGAGGAAATCCTACAGGTGTCGTCTTGTGTCACATGAAGTCAATCCAGTGGTTTTAGTTTATGGTATGCGTGTGACTTAGTGTTGTTGTCAAGTGGATTCTGACTCATGGTACAGAACAGAACCACTCCATCGAATTTTCAAAGGCGCCCTGGGAGCGTTGTGGTTACAAATCGGGCTGCCACCTGCAAGGTCAGGAAAGATGAGGAGAAAGATGAGGCTTTCTGCTCCCATAAAGATCTACAGTCTCGGAAACCATATGCAGGGTCGCTATGAGTCAGAACCGACTCCACAGCACAGAACCACCATTGAGGTGTCAAGGCTATATGGCCTTTCAAAAGCAGACTTTTGAAAGCGTCTGAGTGGGTTCGAACCACCAACTTTTTGGCTCATATTCAAGCAGTTAATCATTTGCCACATCCAAGGACTCCTGTGTATGTGTGTTGTTGTTAGGTGCCGTCTAGCCAGTTCTGACTCCCAGCGACCTTATACACAACAGAACGAAACACTGCCTGATCCTGAGCCACCTTCACAATTGTGAAGATTGTGTATGTGTATATTCTTACACATGCACACACGCATATATGGTCATTTATTTATTTGTTAAATCTTTTAAGCTATATTGTTGTTAAGTATCATCAAGTCGGTTCTGATTCATCGTGACTATAGGGTTTCAGAGGAGGGAGCGGCTGGTGAGTTTGAACTGCTGACAGGCTTAAAACTGACAATTAGGCTTTTATTTTTTTTCTAAGCCCTTATAAAGGAGTCCTGGTGTGGCGCTGTAGGATAAGCACTTGACCACAAGGTCAGTTTGAACTGCAAAATCGGTGGTTCGAGCTCACCAGCTGCTCCTCAGAAATCCTATACAGGGTCTCTGTGGGTCAGAACTGACTCAGTGGCACTTAACAACAACAACAACAACATCCATGTAAAAAGAGGTCTGGTGGCGCTGTGGGCTAGGTGTTGGACTACTAACCAAAAGGTCGTTAGTTCAAACCCACCAGCTGCTCCTTGGGAGAAAGATGAGGCTGTCTGTTGCTATAACCATTTACAGTCTTGGAAACCCTGTACAGGGTCACTGTACGTCAGAATCAACTTGAAGGCAGTGAGTTTGGTATTGTTTTTTTGGTATGTAACTCATCCATCACAATTGAAGACATGCATTAAGTAGCCAGAAAGAACTTGGCTTGCTTCTCCACCCGTTCAGTCAGAAGTGCTCTGTGTCTGTATACTCCGCTTCTGCTGCCTTCAGACTCTCTCACAGATGGAAAATAAACCAAGGCACCAAAAATCAATTGCCTTCTAATCAATTCCAATGAATGACGACCCCACGGGTGTCAGTGTAGAGCTGTGGGCGGCCCCACAGGTGTCAGTTTAGAACTGTGGACGGCCCCACGGGTGTCGGTTTAGAGCTGTGGACGGCCCCACGGGTGTCGGTTTAGAACTGTGGACGGCCCCACGGGTGTCGGTTTAGAGCTGTGGACGGCCCCACGGGTGTCGGTTTAGAACTGTGCTCTGTACAGTTTTCAATAACTGAGTTTTTACTGGTTGCCAGGCCTTTCTTACAGGGTGCCTCTGTGTGGATTCGAACCTGCAGCCTTTCAGTTAGCAGGCAGCCCCTAGGGACTTCACTCAGGCAACAGCAGTCTATATGGTTTGTCCTCCATCTCCAGTTGAGAAGGTGCATGTTTTAAGCACATATCCACGGTGCATGTAGACTCTGTGATCTCTGTGTTCATTGGGATAAGACATTGGAGCGAGGTGCGTTAGTGACATGTAGCCCCCAGAAAACAAGCATCCAAATGATTTTCCTCTGCGTCTCTTCCCAGGAGCTGGAGAAGCAGCAGTTATACGACATACCTGCCAGTCCCCAAAAGGCAGCACTTCAACCACCGGGCAACCAAGCCAGAGTAAGTGGGGAGAGATGCTGGGATTCCAGGCTAGGAGAACCCCAAGGTCAGCGGGGTGGGGGGCTAGTTATCAGCTTGCTCCAAAATAGGAACGCAGATCCCTCAAAGCAGATGACCTTGTTTCATACGAGGCCAAACTTGTCATGGAATCCACCCCGAGTTATGGCGACCCCATGTGTATTAGAGGAGAACTGCGCTCCCTCCATAGGGTCGCCAAGAGCTGTGATCTGTCAGAAGGAGAATGCCAAGGCACCTCCCCGGGTGAACTCAAATCTCCAACCTTTCAGTGACATTCCAGGGACCCCCTCATTGGAGGCAAAACCCCTTCATTGGAATAGTGTTCTAGAATAGATCCAGCTATGTGTGTGTGTCAGATCAGACGACGTATTGCATTAGGCAAATCTGCTGCACAGGAACTTTTTGAAGTATTGAAGAGCAGAGATGTCAGCTTGAGGACTAAGGTGCACCTGACCCAGGCCATGGTATTTTCAATAACCTCATATGGATG